TCTTGAAGAAATTCATTCGTTTCACTCATATTTGTTTTCAAATTTTAAATTTCTTTTTGCATTATGATACCAACTTGTTGCCCATTCTCTTGCCTAGGCAGAGATTGAAGGGAGGATGATGATCTAAAGAACACAAAATCTCTGGTTGTTTGCTTTTGGATAAAATCTTGCTGATGATGTACAGGCATTGTTTCAAACCCCTAAACACCGGAGATATAAGGAAGATAATCCCTTGCTAACCCCTTTTGAGCCTTTGAAGTAGAAGTTTCTTTTCTATACGAAAAAACCTTGAATTTTAACCTGGGGCAGGGTAGTTTTTAGTTAATCTGACTGAGTGTTCGAAATTCATAAGGAAGATGTTTTTTGAAGAGAAACTACGAGGGATATCCTTCCTGTATAATGAATCTAGAGGATGTGGAACCACAATGTTATCCCTCATTCATCAAGAAACGAGGCAATCACAATCCTCTCAACAAGCAAATACAAGCTAATGTCACACATTTTGTTCAAAAAGTCAAAAATCGAGAAAAAGAAAAAGCCTGCTAAGTCAAAAAACATGAAAACGTGTGACTTAGGCAAAATTAAGGCATCCCGCTGGACTATCAATTCAAAAGAATTAGTTCAGGCAAAAGTTAGGGAAAATAAAAATTGCAAAGAAAAGGACTGCAAAGAAAAGTCCTCAGCAAAGAGCAAATTGGTGACTACAAACACGAAGACATGAGGGTGGTTTCTATTCCGAAAGCCTCGTCGTTTCCTTGGCCGTCACAAAATTCTTTTGAGAGATGAACACTCATGTTGAATTAACTGAACATAGGGTTGGAGAACATCATGAAGAATGGGTGGGAACCAAATACTTTGAGCCTTAAAATATTTTTCTAAAAACCATGAACCAGACCACGTTACAACCTTCAAAAGTCCTAATTGAAGCAAGGGTATTTTGAAAGCATACTTCAATGAGATAGTGTTGCTGACTCCCATGAATGTTCTAAATAGTTATGCTGGTATCATATGTTTTTCCTATACAAAAATAAATGGTGCTTTAACTCGCAAAATTTGTGCGATATCTTTCAAAATCTTCAAGACTTACATAACTGTTGCATTAGAATTTTCATTCTCATTGTAAACTTTTTCTAACTGCAAAACATTTGTTTGATATCAAGGAAGCTCACATAAGCACCAGTGATGAGTTTATTCTTTTAAGGCTCGAAACTATGTTGAATAATTGGCGGATCACGTCAAGAAAAATCATATGCAGGGGCATGTCACCTGAAGACCGTAAGCACGAACATGTTGCTTCTCCCAGTTAATGCTTTCCCAACTTGTTTACCCTTTGGGGCAGAATTTGAAGACTTTGTTGTGACAGGTACAGTCAATCCGGGGCAATCACGTCGAGATATTGATGAATTCCTCTAAGAGTTTGAAGACACCGGAGCATGGTGAATGCCAGGTCTTTTGTGAAATCCTCTTGAGACGATTTCTCCTCATCAGCCAGATAGCTTGGGGCATGTAGAAGTGAAGCTATTCGCAAGAATTGTCGTGCAACATGCAGCTCATCAGCAGTAAACTTGGGGCATCCAAAATTGGTCCCAGGGGCAATCTAGATTTGTCAAGATATGTTTTTCATACATTATTAGAGGGTGGTGTTCCCAGTATCTCCAGCTAAGCAAGACTTTTTTCCAGCTGAAGCATTGTTCGTGTTATTATCCTTTCAACGAATTATCGACATTAGAAGACTGGACTTTGGGTTTTCTACCAAAAAAAATATCTTCCTCTTCATAGATATTTAAGCCTTGTAAAAGGACTTTGCTCCAATGATGGCTTTTGTTTTCTATCTCCAGTAATGTTACTATCCTGTTGAGATTAGCCGAGTGTCGAGTTGTACTGTGATGTCGTATCATTTTCTGTCTATCTCCCCTGTCTGTTTTGTCAGCATATACATGACATTCATTTATTCACACTTGCATCATGCATGCACAGTTGTATTTGTTGATGTCTTTGAGTACGTATACCTTGGTTATGTCTATTCAAATAGCGTATTTGATCTTTCCAAATAGAGTGTCAACTTAAGCAGAAAGTGCGCCTCTTTTTCTAATTCCCCACTGAGTTAACTCTCGTGGAAGAATCTTGCTTTAGCTTTCCTTTTCCATCTCTGGATAGGATAAATCCCCATTTGAGTTGTTTCCTCATTGGGTGGAGTCTTGTTTGACTATTTTCTCTCCAGTTTATTCCTGGATTGAGCTTTGTCTCTTGTGAACGATACCCTGTGGATCTCTCTAGGCTGTGAAACCTAGATGGAGAGTGCATTTATTTTGCAACGTAAATACTTGGTCTCCTCAAGAAGGATTTATTCATGGTTCCCCATTGAAGATGAACTTTATTCCCCAGCAGTGTTATCACAACCTTCTTCGGGAATATCGACATGACAACAAGCGATTGACTCTTCATTTGAGCAGTTTGATTATTTCTGATTTCTCTACGACAAATGGCGGTCTCTTCATGAGCAGTTTGTCCATCCTCGATGAAATTATTGATTCTCACCTCCAGCAATATCTTCATGATATTTTATGGGTATCTTTGAGAAAACAACAAGCGGCAGTCTCTTCATGGACAACTTGTATGTTATCAACACTTTTAAAACAACAAGCGACAGTCTCTTCATGGACAACTTGTATGTTATCAACACTTTTAAAACAACAAGCGGCAGTCTCTTCATGGACAACTTGTATGTTATCAACACTTTCAAAAACAGCAAGCGGCAGTCTCTTCATGGACAACTTGTATGTTTAAAAACAGCAAGCGGCGGTCTCTTCATGAGCAACTTGTATGGTTATTGCTACATTTGAAAAAACAGCAAGCGGCAGTCTCTTCATGGACAACTTGTATGTTTAAAAACAGCAAGCGGCGGTCTCTTTATGAGCAACTTGTATGGTTATTGCTACATTTGAAAAAAACAGCAAGCGGCAGTCTCTTCATGGACAACTTGTATGTTTAAAAACAGCAAGCGGCGGTCTCTTCATGAGCAACTTGTATGGTTATTGCTACATTTGAAAAAACAACAAGCAGCGGTCTCTTCATGAGCAACTTGTATGTTATTATCACCTTTGAAAACGGCAAGTGGCGGTCTCTTCATGAGCAGCTTGTACAGAAAACGGCAGGTGGCAGCTTCTTCATGAGTAGCTTGTACGTCAGTATTTTTGGAAGACAGCAAGTGGCAGCTTATCTGTTTGAGCAGCTTGTGGGTTTTCGGCAACAAGTGGCAGACTCTTCATGAGCAGCTTGTGTACTTTAATATTCTTTGAAGACAGCAAGTGGCGGTCTCTTCATGGGCAGCTTGTATGTTATTGACACCTTTGAAAGGAAGCAAGTGGCAGCCTCTTTATTTGAGCGGCTTGTGTATCCCCAACAATAATGTCTACTCAGCAAATGGCATCCCTTTCGGAAAAGTCCCGTGGGGAAGTTTGTTATTTTATCCTTTTCAAGCGATATCTTGGTTAAAGAAGAAATGTGTTACCGTTCTTGGTAAAATTCAGAAATCAGAGATGTTTATCTCCAGCCACAGTGTTGATGTCAATCATTACCTTTTCCAGTCTCAGTGCTGATGTCAATCTTTCTCTAGTCTCAATACTGATGTAAATCATTCAAGAGTCTCATTTGAAGTCTATGACTTTGTTTCCCCAGTGATGTTATAATTTGTTCCCCTGTAGGATTACTGTATAATGTGCTTGGTTTCTCCAGCATAGTCTGTCTCATATGGCGTCACTCCCCATAAAATTCAAAACATCACATTCATATCATATCATGAACTTAATTGCGGTATCTTAAGGCCAAAAATTGTGTATTCTATATTTAAGTCCCTTCAATCTCGTCGAAATGAAGATCCCAATCTTCATATCTCCAGATAGAAGAAACTTAAATAGGGGCAGCTGTTGTACCCCAATTTTTGACCTAAGATCCCATTTTTATTTGTGCATTTTTAAGATAAGTCAAGGTCACGAAATACGGTCGATTTTAACGTCTCACCTTCGAGCTTCGACTATGCGAAGATTGTCAAGTGTTTTGAACATTTTTAGCCTATGTATCACTAATTTCTAATCCATACAAAGGTGTATGTTCATGTCTTCTTTTGCTTCATGTGCAGAGACAGGTCTGAATCAAGAGCATCAGGTGTCGCGCCTCAATTAAGGTTTTGAGTCTCCCAAGCCAAAAGTACGGTTGATTATGGATTCTCGAAGACTGATTCATCAAGGCACAACTGTCGCACCCCTTTTTCCGCCCCTTCACTTTTTTCGACTGGTGCATATTTTGTCGTTAATTTGAAAAATCAATCATTTCGCATACTTTCTTGTTTTTATTCATCATTTTAATTTCTATTTAAAAAAAAAAGAATTAAAATAGTTTATCATTTGCATTTTTCTATCACATTTCCAATGAATTTGTTTTAGTTCAAAAATCTGTCTTATTATTATTTTTTTCTTATTTTAATCTATTTCTATTTCTTTTAGATATTACTAACTATTTTCCCTTTTTCTCATTATTATTATTATTAGTATCTTTATTGCATTTTATTATTTATTGTTACTAATTATTTTTATTTTTGTTCTCATTATTGTTATTATCATTGTTGCATTTTATTATTTTATTTTATTTATTGTTACTAATATTTTTTCTTCTTCTTATATTATTGTTACTATTATGTTATTATTTGTTTGTTTTTTTGTCAAAAATAGAGAAAGAAAATTACAAAGTAATTCCATTACAATATCATTCACTACTCTTCAAAGTGTAGGTTTCAAGTGCCTAAAATACAAAATCATTTTCTAACTATTCATCATCCATTATTCAAACTCATTCAATTCTTAAGACATCTCAAAAATATAATTTCAAAGTTCCAAATAACCTTTGTCTCATCCATTTGCAAGTTGCACAAGTTTAAATTCCCAAATTACATCATTTGAAACTTCAGAAATAAAAAAAAAAAAAAAACTCAAACATAAAAGTTTCTAACTCCTAAAGCTATATGAAACCAGGTTTTGAGCTTGTAGCTTTTCCTTGCTGCTTTTTCCACTTTGCCATGCTTCACATCCAAACATAATTGCTTCAAAATAGACCCCACAAAATGTCAAAACAATAGCCAAAAGACCTACTCTGCATATCAGTCCAAACCTTGCTTCAAAATCATCCATACTGTATGCTGCTCCAAACCCTGCATAAGTGCCAAAAAAAACAGTCAAATTATGACCTTTCCTTGTCCACAATCCTTGCAGCCATAAAACAAACACAACACTCCAAAAAACTGCACTATTGCCCTGCAAAATCAGATCCCAACCTGCTCCAAAACCTTACTGTCAAACTATCCAAATATGCACCACATCAGTCCAACAATTGCATAAAGATGGTTAAATCAAAATTGCATAAAAAAAGGGTTTATGTCTAGACACTAAATCTGTTCGAATTTCACCAACCTTTCTCCCAAATTTCATCATTCTTCTTCTATAAATCAAGAATTCACTTCAGTAGAAAAAAAGGAGGCATCACACACAAGAATACAGAGAAACAAATTCATTATCAAAAAAAATTATTTCAAACTCTTTCAACTCACCTTTGAAAAAATGTTTCAGTGACATCCTATAAACTTTATGCTTCACTCACCGATTTCCATCACAACAACAGTTCCAAATGCAAATGCACAATAACAGTTCAAACCACCGAAACCCTCTTCCGGTCACGAAACTTCACTCTCTGTCAAAAGAACTCTCTCAACCTCTTACCACCTTCCATTCTCGCGAGTCCACCTCTAATCAATGACACAACTTCTCCGCACGCAGCAACACATCAATCGCAACTCGCCGCTACTCTCTGGGCAACCTCCACGCAACCCACACCGACCGACTCCTCCAACTCCCGCCGCAAATAGATCTGCACCGGACAGCCCGCCGCCACCCGCAACCGTCTCCGCATCGAAACTTAGGTCGGTACCGTGCTTCATATTTGGTTCTTGAAATATTGGGTTTTGGCGTTGTATTGCGAAGAGAAGAAAAGTAGGTAGTGAGATAAACTTTTTTTTTCCTGACTTTGTTTCAACTATATTTGTGTTACATTTTGTTTGATTTTTATTTTTTTGTTATAATGTTTCGCCACGTGTCAGCTCCTCATTGGACCTACTTTTTCAAAGCAATTTTTAAGGGATGGAGGGGTGTTGAAATGTTGACCGAGTATTGATGATGGAGTAGGCATGCTCACATTTTTTATTATCATTATTACATTAGCTTAGGATTAATTTTAGTTAGTTTTGAAATAGGTACACTATATTTTAACCTAACAGTAAACCTCATTATGTACAACTAATTTTTATTTTTCAATTTTTCAATTTTTAGTTTTGATTTAAGATAGTAATTTTATTATTAAATAGTTTAGATTAACTTAGTAATTTTATAATGAATTTAGTTTATACTTAAACTAGTTTAGATTTAATTTAACAACTTTAGAATTTTAATTTTACAATTTAGTAATTTTATAATTAACTTAATTTATATTTAAATTAGTTTAGATGTAATTTAGTAATTTTAGAGCTTTAATAGTTTTAGAATTTCATTTGATTTAGATTTAATTTAATAACTCTAGAATTTTTATTCGATTTAGATTTAATTTAGTAACTTTAAAATTTTCATTTTGGTTTAGATTAAATTTAATAACTCTAGAATTTTTATTCGATTTAGATATAATTTAGTAACTTTAGAATTTTATTTGTGTTAGTTTTGACTTAGTAAACTTTATAATTTTTTGTTTAGTTTTATTTTAGTAACTTTAGGATTTTATTTCATTTAGATTTGACTTAGTAAATTTTAGAATTAGATTTTTATTCCATTTAGATTTGACTTAGTAAACTTTAGAATTAGATTTTATTTCATGATTTGACTTAGTAAACTTTTAGAATTTTATTTGATTTATATTTAGTTTAGTAACTTTGGAACTTTCTTTGTTTTAGGTTAGCAACCTTGGAATTTTTATTTAGTTTAGATTTAATTTACTAATTTAATAAATTTTTAATCTAGTTTAGATCTAACTTAGTAATTTTAGAATTCTAATTTATTTTAGATTTAATTTATTAACTTTAGAATTTTAAGTTAGTAATTTTATAATTTAAATTTAGTTTTAGTTATTAACTTTGAAATTTTATTCAATTTAGTTAGACATTTTAGAATTTAAGTTTAGTTTACTTAGTAACCTTAGAATTTCAAATTAGTTTAGATAATTTTTTAATTACACTTTTCTTTTATTCATGATTCTTCTTTGTCCATTCATTTAGTTTCTTACAATTTATCTTGTTATCTACCTTGTTCGTTTCTCGTGGATTTTAATTATTTATGATTTCTTACTCGAATATTAGATCTACCTGCTTATGATTAACTCCAAGGGAAAGAATTAAATTTGTTGACTTCATGTCACCGAACCTATCTCATGCGATTGCGCGAACCCCTTTCATTCATTTTTTTGCTTGTTTACTATTTTGCTAAACTTAAGATAATTTTCCCAAAAGACTCCATTTTCAAACTCATACCTTTTAAGTCAAAATTTCGATGCTAGGTCGTCGTATCTTCAAAAATCTCGTCCATACCCATCTTTTAACCAAATAAACCATTTTAATCAAACAAACAATTTTAACCGAAAAACAGATATTTCAAAAGGTTCCTGCGGAGTACCGCAGATGCATTGGGTGCTAATACCTTCCCATTGTATAACCAACCCCCGAACTCTCAATCTCTTTCAAAAACGCATTGTATTTTTATTACTTCTAAGTCTTATTTTACATTGCATATTTTAGGGTTTTATTTCGCTCTTTTCCCTTTTCTCTTGGAAATAATAAAGCGCGGTGGCGACTCTTGCTTTTGCGAGTCAAGTTAATTAATAGCTTGATCTCCGATTTTCACCGCTACAGCTGGATCTTGTACTGACACGGTTAAGTATTATAAGCTCAGAACTAGGCGCTCTGATGCCAATTGAAGATGTGAAAAACACAAGAAGTGGGGTTGAATTGTAAAACTTAAAACAAATGCTTAGACAACACAATATTTTTATCCTGGTTCGTTTGATCTCAAACTACTCCAGTCCACCCGTCAAGGTAATTTCTCCTCTCTCCAACGAGGTCTTAATCCACTATATTCAAAGGATTACAACAGCTACTTTAACACCTGTTAAACCCTTCTTGAGTATAACCATAAACCGGTTTATCTCAAGGAAATCTCTTACAAGATAATTGAACAAGAATGTGTTTAACGTTTTCTAATAAAACAATATACCACAACTGTGATAATTACACAATTTAAGCTTGGAATAAACTGAATTTGCTAAAGCGTTTGAGTAAGCGTGGTTTTGAAGGCTTGGCAAATTATGTGAGTGCATGCGTGCGTCTTTTCTCAAGCAGACTTGTTTATATAGCCAAGGAAAAGATACGTTGTCCATAAAGCACTTTTACTGATAATAACACACTTTCCTTTTGAAGAAGATCTTGTCTGAATAAAGTCGTTAGCAATTAATTCTGTCTTGAATACTTAATAACGCTTCAGAGTCTTCTTTGCTTATGGTGACGCTTTAGAGTGTTCTTTGCTTTAACTTGTGATAACGCTTCAGAGTGCTGATTACTTGGTAATGATCTTTGATCAGAGTCAGAGTGTATATGTTTATGCGCAGATTCTGGTCATCAAGCTTCAGCGTATGATCTGGTAGCTTCAGCGTGTAGCACATGTTACTGATCTTCTGATGCTTCTGATGCTGATGCTGATTCCATCAGAACTTTTGTATATACAAACCATAATTTTAAGAAGCATATTTGTCTTATATATAAATCTTACAATTTATTTATTCTTTGTATTTTGTTATCATCAAAACTCTAATTAAGGGTTGTAGAATCAACCTACGACTTCTAATGGACATCGTTTCATCCTCGTCGCAATTGACTACTTCACAAAGTGGGTCGAGGCAGCCTCATTTGCTTCTGTTACCAAGAACATCGTGGCTCGATTCGTCAAGCACAACCTTATCTATCGGTATGGTATCCCAGAAAGAATCATTACGGATAATTGTACTAACCTCAATAATACTATGATCACCGATCTCTGCATATAATTCAAGATTCAGCATCATAACTATTCTCCTTACCGGCCGAAGATGAATGAAGTTGTAGAGGCTACTAATAAGAACATCAATAAGATCATACAGAAGATGACAATGACATATAAAGACTAGCACGAGATGTTACCATTTTCTCTTCATAGTTACCGTACCTCAGCACGCACGTCAATAGGGGAAACTCCTTTTTCTCTAGTATACGATATGGAGGTTATTTTAGCTATAGAAGTACAAATCCCTTCCTTGAGAATCATAAAGGATGAAATTTTGAATGAGGATGATTAGGTTCGGACCCAACTTGACCAATTGAATCTGATTGATGAGAAGAGGCTCAAGGCTGTTTGTCATGGTCAGATGTACCAGCAACATATGATCAAAGCTTTTAACAAGAAGGTCAGACGTCAGATATATCAGGTTGGTGACCTAGTAATCAAGCGCATTATCCTTCCACAAGGTGATCCAAAGGGTAAATGGACTCCAACGTACGAAGGACCATTTGTGATCAAGAACATATTTTCTGGTGGAGCCATGATCTTAACCACTATGGACGGTGATGACCTTCTGCACCCTGTAAACGCGAACATAGTTAATAGATACTACGCATGAATAGAGACCCGCTAGGTTGAATGGCCTAGGCAAAAATAAGGGCATCCCGGTGAATCAAAAGGGTTCGGGCAAAATTTAATATGAAAAAATGTACACCCGGCAAGTCGAAAACCTAAAAAGGCGGTTTGGGAAAAAAATGGGTATCCTGGTGGACTGAAAACACGAAAGGGCGGTCCAGGCCAAAGTTAGGGATTAAAAGCATACAACTATGTCCCATTGGATCACCTCACAGACATACTTCGTTAATAAGTGTTAAGTTCAAATGGTACTAATCAATCTAGTTAACTCTGGTCAAGCAGCAAAGTGATGAGACACTCAAAGTTATAAAGGCAATAGTAGAACAGGAACCCAATGGGATCAGGTCACATAGATGTTTTCTCTTTGTATACTACTTTATATATTTTCCATTCTTACAACGTTATTCTCTTACTAGGATGTTCGTCTCCTTGTACAAAAACACCTGTTATAGGCAATTTTCTTCAAATCAATACAAAACTATCTCTTTGAAAGTACAAAACCATTTGTTTTTATTTTTCTGTTTTGTTTTGCAAAAATGTCTAATGATTATTTTTAACACATGCATTTGAATATGATTACAATTTACAAATACACGCATAAAAAACAGAAAGACAGTTACTAATGGCTTTAGAAACGGGACAATATCTAAAAAGCCATCTGCAGATCTGTGAAGATACATCCCACAGTAGATACCGATATAGAGACGTCCTCCTGTGAAGTCACTCCCATATCTTCAACATACAACCAAATGATGTCATAGGTTCCGGTATCCCCTACAGGGCAAAAGTCTCCAATCATCTTCCCAGTATCTTGAAGAATTCCTCAACATGGTTCATAAACTTCTTGAGTTCCCACAACAGGGCTTCATAAAAATCACAAAGAAGTTTACGGATTTTTTTCTTTCCCCAGTAGAGTTTATTTCTCTATCCACAAAAATCTATCTCCCAGCAATTCAACTTCAACAAATAATGAAGAATCACATTCTTCATCCTCAGCAGCAGTCAGGGGTGTATTTTCCCTTAATTCAACGACGTCGCAAAGAATAATTGATCAGTTCATATATTGCATTCATACATTATTTTACAAATGTCATAGCATATGCATACAAAATACATATAGCACAATCTCATTTATTTTGAGAACTTCATTACATAATGTGTGTCATGCATCATGACTTTGCATACAACTAACTCTTTACCTTTTCAGGAAAGATCAACAAACAAATATCATTATCAA